TCTTAATTATACAAATGAACATACCATACATACTCGTGTATAAGCTGAGCTCTTCAGCACATTTATTAATGCAGTTTTTGTGGTCAAATTAGGTGCCTCGGCTGATAGTCTGGTTGGCGTATACTCGAGTGTATACAGTATGCAGGCCTGACAAGATTAACGAGGTAAAGCTAAGACTATAATAGTAAGGAGAGGAAATGTTAAAGAATTAGAGGATAGTTATGTGTTTCATCAGTACTATACTGCACCCTGGATATATCATCCCTCTGTGTGGCCCTTCTGTGAGGGACTGCTCAATTATCTCAAAGGTAGGTTTTGGGTCTCCACTTTGCCTAGGCTCCTTCATGTCAATTTGATTGCTTGCTTTTGAGCTTCTGAGACCTATTCCCATCGACACTGCATGATCACACAGGCTGGCGTGCTTCTTCCATGTGGGTGTTGTTACTTCCCTGCTAGATGGCTGCTAACTTCAAGCCTTTAAGACCCCAGATGCTATGTCTTTTAATAGCCAGACACCATCAGTTTTCTTCACATTTGCTTATGCACCCCTTTTGTCTTCAGTGATAGTGTAGGGTAGGTGAGTTAGCATATGTTGCCACATTATTGGAACAAGTCGTTCTCCATCTGCTTCCTTGTTGTATTAACGTATATACAAATACATCTATCTTTATATATGTGTATATTTACATATATACATATCTATATTTATCTCTCTATATATAATTTTTACTTGCTTGTTCTTTGCTCCTGCCCCATTATTGTTTACCCATTGTTGACCTCTCAGTAATTCCCACTCATTTCTATTAAACAAACATGACCAGGAGTGCTTCACCCTTCTCACCATCAATTTTAGATCCCTTGCTATTCCCCTGTTCCTGTCGTTATTGGCTCACTGCTCACCCCCACCCTCCCCACTCCACCTCCTCTCCCATTGCCCCCTGTGGCAGTCACATAATCTCCTGTCAACTTGAGTGAAGCCTGTCAGTCAGGTCACAGCTTGATGACCTATTTGGATGTGTGACAGAGATACAAAATTCACTGGAGGCCAGACCCACTCTCCCTGAGACATTTCTGTTGACAAGCCATATGGAGCTATGCTGATGGAGCCAGAGCCCTGGAGCTTGAGGAGCCACATGGAGACTCATACCAGCACTGAGATGATTCCACCACCACTGGATCCACTTGACTTTCTACCCACTGGCCTGTGATCTTCCTGCATTGGGATTTATTGCATGTGTTGTGTGAGACTAAAGAGGAATTTATTGACTGGTATCCGTCATATGGTCTAAATGTGGACTTCTGGACTTGATCTGGACTGGGCTGGGCTGTTTTTTCAATGTACAATTACTCTTTTATATAAAGCTCTTTCTTATCTACATATGAGTGTCTCTGGATTTGTTTCTCTAGTCAACCCAGACTAACACCACCACACCCACCCACACCATTGGTCCCATTGCTGTCTCCTTAGGATTGTTTATCTTGCCTATCTTATATGGATAGACACCAAAAGGAAAGAGAGAGAGAGAGAGAGAGAGAGACCATACAAACAGTTCCAAGTCTAACTGTTGTCGTAACCCAGAGTAGAGGAGTCTCTGTTAAGTAGCAAGCAGGCCCTGCTATAATCCTTCAGTCCAATCCTTTTCTTTCAGGGTTCCATATCCCAGGACCTGCTTATCCCACAGCACTTAGACCTTTTAGTCCTCAGCATTCCTGACCAAGGGGCCCACCTTCTACAAGACCCCATTACTTTTCCTGCAGTCAAGGATGGAGCAATCTAGTGCCCCCATCCCCCAAACCCATTATACCTTTCGACGTTCAGTGTGGCCTCCTTATGAATATCCCTCAAGCAGTTCAGATGAGGTGCCAAGCACTGCCCCCCGCCCTCTCCAGTCAGAAGTCTACAATCTGGATTCCTCAGGGACTTGGTGGCTTTGCTCCCATTGCTGGTCTGTTGCACTCCCCTCTGGCTTTGCCCCTGAGACTGCAACTCTTTTATTTTTAAAAAATCATTTTATTGGGGGTTTTTACAGTTTTTATAACAACCTATACATCCATTGTGTCTAACACATTTGTACATATGTTGCCATCATTTTCTTTTTTTTTTAACAGTTTATTGGCACTTCATCCACATATCGTACAATTCAATAGTTCATCCAAATCAAGAATAGTTGTACAATCTTAACCATAATCAATTTTAGAACATTTTCTTTTTTCCCACACGCATTGTGATTCATATAATTTTTATTCCTTTTTGGCAAAAAATACGCAACAAATCACTCACCAATTCAACTTCTACATGTATAATTCTTTTTTTTCCCTTTTAAAAAAATCATTTTATTAGGGGCTCAGATAACTCTTATCACAATCCATACATACATCAATTGTGTAAAACGCATTTGTACATTCATTGCCCTCATCATTCTCAAAACATTTGCTCTCCACTTAAGCCCCTGGCATCAGGTCCTCATTTTTT